CCCCTGGGTGAGAAACAGAGAAGAGAGCCCCTCTGTGAGTTGATGTAGTCCTGAGGGCACAGGGCTTGACAAATAGAAACTTCCTTTCAGGGAATTAGAAAAATAACCCCTCTGAACAGGAACAGTGATATACCAAGGCAAAGGGCTTGGCAAACACAGCAACAGATGAATTCCAGCCTCTACTTGAAGTTTGAGCTAGGCTTCCTGGGACAGCTCCCAACTTGCAGACCTGTAACTGTCCCATCTATGGTCAAATGAATTTGGGAAATGGTATGTTATATCCTTCTTCTGAAGAGTCACGTTATTCATTAGTATTAATATATTGGAGACGTTCAGAATGCTTATTGTATTAACAGTTGGTTTTTTTTTTCACCCAATGTTTCCTAAATTTACAAGATGAGGAACTTTTTCTTTTCTTTTCCTTTTTTTTTTTTTTTGTTTATAATGACTATGAATATTCTCCAGGGTTTAGGTTCTACACAGAGCATATGTTAGGAAATACTGACTTAAACTAACATAATTGAAATAAGGGTGCTGGAGGGAGCAGAGGTGTATTCTAGGGAAAAATAGAACTTTCTCAGTGTCTCTGAAAGAAAACAACAGAGGCAACCAATTATTATGACTGTATGCAAAACTGTCATTGACTGAGGTCCTTTCGAGCGAGCCAGCAGGAATATTGCAGTTGAAGTCATGTCAAAAGGCCTGTGTAGCCAGTATGTTGGCTCCTGTGGTAGCATTCCCACAGCATGAACAGCATAAGGTCTGGAGCCGGTGAGCTTCAGTCTTCTGGCTCCTCTACTTACAGCCTCAGTATCCTTCTCTATAAAACGACAATGGTGGTAGTGCCTAGCTCATACTGTTGTACGACTCCCATGAAACGCTGAGAGAGAAGTGCTTATGCAATATTCAGCATACAGTAAAATATCAAATAAATGTTGTTATGTGATGTATAAAGTTGTTCTTTCTGCCTTATATTAACCTTGGGAGAATAGCAAGGTTCAGAAACAGGTCAATTCTGCAAAGACTAAATTAACCAAACTTTCATTATTTGGAGAATTTTATTTCATAAAGAAAAGTATAGCCCTGGATTTATTGGCTCTGATGGAGTTTATATATTTCTGGTGAACTTGAAAGTTCTTCCACTATGCTCTTGCAACAAATCAAATCATATCATATCAAATCAAATCAAACCAACTCCATACCTGATTGTTTTTCTAGACATAATGTTCAAGTGCTTTTGAATTTGGGGGATAGCTCCCAGAAGCTTCACTGTGTTATATCCTAATTATAAATATAAAAAGTATTTTGAATGAAAAATACTATTTTTACACAGAAATGCGAAAATTGAGTTCATTTTTGTGCTTGTTAAAATTTGTACTTTGTTAAAATTTGTTTTGTTATTATTTTCGTTTATTCCCCAAAGAGAATAATTAGATTACTAAAGCTAGCACAGAAGTATAGAAATATTAAGAAGGCTGGCATATAGCATTTAAAAACCTGTAGATATATTTATATAGCATCAGGTTAATGTAAGTAAAATTGTTCTAAAATCGTTTGGGTCAACCTCATTATTAACTCATACAAACATCTTTTCTCAGTCATCCAATATAAATGAATATTTTGGCATTATTTACAAAGAAAAATAATGTCATCATTTTTCCATGGTTTGTTGGAAGTTAAAGTGAAATAATATTTATATATTATGTGATAACTTTTAAAGTCATTGATCTTTGAGGTGAGAAATGAAAAACTCACTTAATCACCTGGATAATACTTTGTCATTGTCTGTATAACACAGAGCAGGTAATTGAATGTATTTCTCTAGTCATTAGTTACAATAGGAGGAATTTTTTTTTTT